CCCCCGCTGACCTCTTCATCACTTGAACATTCCAAAATCAGTACAAAAGCCATTATTTTCTTTTTTACTGCTAGTGTTTCTGTCTGTCAGTCTCGTTTTTTCTTTCCTCAAAATAGCAGTCAACCGTTGCTCACACTATTTAACGGTTATCCACCATTCCATTATTTGCTGTCTTTTCTGTATACTTATTGGACAGCCACTGATGTGATTAATTGCCACACACGAAGTGGGGCTGAAGAGCAGTTCCGTGAGAGAGGGGTTAGCAGAGCAACGGTCGTGTACATATTTATTATATTGTGCTGATACATTTAATTGTGAGTGAGTGGGTGTGTGTGTGTGTGTGTGTGTGTGTGTGTGTGTGTGTGTGTGTGTGTGCGTGTGCGCGTGTGCGTGTGCTTTTGTGTGTATGTTTGTATGTTTGTGTATGTGTGCACATGTATCTGTGTGTGCATGTGTGTGTGTGTGTGCATGCATGTGTGTGTGAGTGTGTGTGTGTATGTGTGTGTGTGAGTGTGTGTGAATGTGTGTGTGTGTGTGTGATTGTGTGTGAATATGTGTGTGTATGTGTGTGTGTGTGTGTGTGTGTGTGTGCGTTTATTTCATACTTAAGTGAGTACAGTAGCTCTCTACTTCCACTTACTACAACAATACTTACATAATGTTTGCGTTGAGCTTCCAATGAGCCATGTCTCCATCACTATTTTGTGTCAAATCTTCTCAGTAATATTTTTTATGTTCAAACATGTTCTGTAATTAATTATCACTGTACTTCTGATCACTTATTCACGTATTGATGTTTGATGTATATATCATCTATTTTTTGGTTTCTTCATTCATTTATCATTATCAAAACATTGTATATTTAGACATTTACTTTTGGTATTATTGTTCCTACAATTATTATCAAAACATGCGTACCGTCCGTTTAGTTACTCTGTTAGACAAGTCAGTATATAGCACTGAATACTTAATACACGAAATAATCAAAGAAAAAAGTACTTAAGACAAATGAATCTTACTATTTCGTTAAAATAAAACATCCTTCCTATACCCTATACATATTGGAATTAAAAAATCAGGAAATATGGAGCCCTTCTATTTGACTTTATCCCACGTAGTCTCAGTACGTATACAATGCAGTTTTATTTCGTTTCCATCTTACTGCTTTGAAGATACTAGCAGAACTGTCATCTAAAAAACAAAGATGTTATTCTTCAGGCCGAGACGCGGTCGCAACACCCCCCCCCCTTTTCCCTTTTCCCCTTCGCCCCCCTAGAACGTGTGTCGCACTCTGTAAATTATGCTCTCTTCAACCTTTATTTCTTTTTTTTTAAATCCCAGCCATAGCTACAACGTATGTCTGAATGTGATAGAAGACACAAACTGGTAGACAAAAAAGATATTTATACTTAGTCCTGTTCTGATTAGGACATTTCTGCCTCAGGTCTGAGTAAAGGTTATAGACATCTTTATCTCATTTCTGGTTGAGGTGAAGGACATGTCTGTCCCATTTCTGGTTGAGGTGAAGGACATTTCTGTCCCATTTCTTGTTGAGGTGAAGGACATGTCTGTCCCATTTCTTGTTGAGGTGAAGGACATGTCTGTCCCATTTCTTGTTGAGGTGAAGGACATGTCTGTCCCATTTCTTGTTGAGGTGAAGGACATTTCTGTCCTAGTTCTAGTTAAGGTGAAGGACATTTCCTTCCCTTTTTTATTAAGGTAAAAAAAACACGTTTATTCCAGTTCTTGTGTAAAGGTTAGGGACATTTCAATTTAAGTTCCGGTTAAGTTGAAGGATATTGATTCTTTCCCAGTTCTGTTTGAAGGTGAAAGACATTTCTAACCTAGTTCAGATACTCTTGAGTAATACCAGAGCTTCCATACTCTGCAACTAAAGAACATAATTATATTTTGCAGAAATATTTTCCAAAACTTGTATATAAGGCACAGTAATACCCCAAACATACCTTTTATCTACACGTATATTATATTATATTATTCCAATCTTCGGGAGGTAGTCTCATATGTGACATAACTCAGAGCATATATTTACACTTATATATATTATATATATATGATTACCTATATACGTATAAAAGTTTACCTATTTTACATGTAATCATAATCATTGTTAACCATTCCCTGAACATTCTTGATATTATAAGCTGCTGAAAACTGCTCGTGTAGACAAACCATTCCTGGCGTGGGAGCCTGCTTTTCTTAGCGGCCCTTGATCGTCTGCATCTTATTTGGCAGCTTTTTGGCATCACAAACTTTGTTTTGCCTATACTTGTGTTTGCGCATTGATGTATAATACGGTTGTTGTTTATTTTTACTTCTACATTCCGCAGCTGATATGCAGTAGGTTTATGTGTGTGTGTGTGTGTGTGTGTGTGTGTGTGTGTGTGTGTGTGTGTGTGTGATATGATCTTGAAAGAAACCCTTTGAGGAGGGCATAATATGAAGAGACTGGTTCAAAATTCGTATGTTTTGGTTCAGTTTTGGCTGACTGCCACTTTGTGCCACTTCAACATTTTAAGCCTTGTAATCATTACTACGTATTGGGACCATACGCATTTTACAGAAACCTTTGACAACTGCTCATTTCAATCCTATGTTCAATAGAAAAATACAAACTAGTGGTCTAAAACCTTCTTGTAAATCTGTTGCTCTAATATCTGTAGTTTTCATCAGTTTCCTATTTATGGAAAAAAAGACCGAACACTCAAATTGGAGAAAGTCGATTTTCCATGTCTATGTGAAGTAGTATTGTACGTTCAGTTTGACCAACCTCCCAGTGGAAATGCAAAATGTGTTTCTGCTGCTAACAGGGTAAACAATTATTTCTTTCAGTGCATAATACCCGAGCACTATTGTGCCTTTATGCTATTTACATTCCGTAAGAAAAACTGGTTATCGCCAGATCTTAATATTTCACTGAGCTGCAGTGTTTTTTCAATGTCTCTATCGATGTTTATTTTCTGATTTTGAAAGGAAAACCTCAAATAAAACTTTTTTTTCCTGATGCCTTAACTCTCATGGTCTATGTCTCACTCACATGGTCTCCGCACAATTTGAACTGACTGACTAATCCTTAACTGCTGAAATGAAAACGGTTTTGATTTTTTATACATACATCTTCCATTGTTTCATTTTTACATGCCTTGAAGCAATACGTGAACACTAAATTGCTCACCGCGTATTGCTGACTATTCGTTTTGTATCAACGGATTATTACTTCTGTTTTGTTTATTTTCGTAAGCCTTTCCTTTTGATAAGCGGGCTGAATTGTGAACTCATAGATCTAGTTTCAACGTTCCTCGTGTGAAGTACACAGTGACTTTAGAATTATTGACTTTCATTCACTAACAATGTAATTTGTTTGACAGATTCCGATAGTTCTAAAATCATGACATATGTAGACAAACTGTTTTATGCAACCTACCAGTAAGTGCCAATGCTTCTGAATTCAATTTGTCTAATCATCGTTTGCATATCGCGGCCTCGGGACAACAGCAATGTATCTCCTTATGATTTATACAGAAGATAGAACCTTATTGTTGTATGGTCACGAAATCTTTTTTTTTTTTTTTTTTTTTGTGTGTGCAAGATCTGTTGTCTGAAATGTATGCAGGATCCATAGACATTGAACCCATGACATTAACTGTTTGAGTCAGTCTCTGACATTTGCTTCTTCTCGAGG